CCTTAAGTTCCTCTTAACTTTTCACTTGTAATTTTTAAAAATTGAACTTGTTGGTTTAATGTTTTTCTGTTGCATAGTTCAAGACATAGAGTCATAATATAATCTTGAGGTACTGTAAATATAGTGAAAACTGAATATCTGTATGGGCCAGGCTTGGGGTAGTCCTACAACATAAGTCCCATCACCCAGATATATTTCTTCTGGATGTGATAGGTCAGTACTGCCTGACTAATGGCACTATGAAGTGTGATTTGATGTTGATTAACAGTGTAACGAAAGTCAAATTTTCAGGAATATCACACACAATTGGCAACCAATAATGACGCCTTTCTAAAAAGTAAAGATAAAATGTTTTTGTCAGACTTTACTTAACCTGATGTCTTTTCTCCAATAAATTCAATTTTCTCACCAAAGAAATGAACCTGTTTTCAAGTTTTGCTGGTCTACATTTCACTTGACTGGAAAGTGATGAAAGCAGGGTATGCCAAAATCAGATAAAGTTGAAATATTAATCTTTAACAAAACAAATAAAAAATATATTATGCCTAATGAAACTAAAAGCAATTTTTTTGTTTTGTTCAAGAAATATATCTCCCACATGAACCTACTGGAACATACTTTGGCATCTCTCGATGCCAATAGCATTCCAACATATTTAATTGTATGTCAATCGAAAATGAAAATGCATCCATTTGCTAGTGTCATATTATAATTCCACCAGGATAAAGACAGCTAAGTAATTTTTTTAATTACGCATAAATTAGTGCACGAATGTCGATAAAGGCTGCCAAGTGTGCGAGATATTCCTGAAACTTTGACTACATTTTCCGATGTCAACGACAACAGAACTGGCTATGTAAGGCTGTTATTAGGGTAGTAAAACATAGCACCAAAACAAAAACAACATGTGCTATGTCTTACATTGTAAGACTTGGCTTGTGATAGACCCACAACTAGATCTTTTTTTGTTGTTGTTTTTTTGTGACAAGAAATGTCAGGGGGAAAAAACGAAGATCTACTCGTTGGTCTACTTGGGTCAGGACTGGGGAATGGCCATCCCCTGCTTTCAGCTAATACATTGTTAGCTTCTAATTTATCAACTATAATAACTGGATGGCAATCATACCAAACGAGTCGCCCTTGCCTCAAAGAACTACACAGAAACATTAGCAGGGCTCAAGGCTTGTTTTCTTTCCTGATGAATCTTCGGGAATTTAAATCGTCTTTAGAAATAAAAAAAAAATAAAAAATAAAATTGGAATATTTCATCGTCAAAGAAGACGAATAATCCACATCTGATACTGAGAGCATTTTATTTTAATCCGACTTGCCATTTCACCTGATGCATGTAGATAACCGACCCATTCATTTTTATTTTCCTCTCTCTTGGAGGTAGTCATAATATCAATATCGCACGGAGCTCAAGTTTGTAAACATATTATATATTATTTTACAGCTCACTAGTTCAAAAAATTCATTGTTATCGTTACACTGACCTTGTTTGATGCAAAATTTCCCTGATGTTGGGTCAAGCTATATTGAGCGACATTAAGATGCTTAACTTCCGGTTGCTGGAAGCTGAACATAGTACGGGTTACCCCCCCCCCCGCTGCACATAGTACTGGTTAATCTCTCTCTCTCTCTCTCTCTCTCTCTCTCTCTCTCTCTCTCTCTCTCTCTCTCTCTCTCTCTCTCTCTCTCTCTCTCTCTCATATATTGTATACCTATGTATGTGGCAGACAAGCCGCCAGCTAAAATCCGAATGTTTGGTTTATCCAATTAAGGCTAATGTGTCAAGCACACGTACACTACTGTGCAGTCGGTAGGCCTTGACAGTTAAGTCATTATGCAACAATGTACGGTATAATCACGGTTACACGTATGAAATAGTTAACATGGTACATCTAATTACTTTAGTGTATAGACCATTTCACCAACGATGTCACTTTTTGAAAACAACGGCATGCATGCAATAATCGATGATTCATGGAAACTCACCGCTCGGAAAATTGAAGAGCAATCTGACAACAGCCGGACCCAAGTTTACAACAATGCCAAATTGCCACCAATATGTAAGTCTAGACACTTGACCATAGCTTGTTGGCTTGAAAATCAGGGCTCATCTTGTTAGCGGGACTGACGAGAAGAACAGAAAGAGGCAATTAAAATATACCTTTTTCTTGTAAGTTTTCTTGCCTGATATTATTCTATGATTTATTTTTAGTGTTTTGTTTTGTGGGGGAAGGGGAAGGGGTAGCTTATCAAGTATTCATTGCAGCAAATGCGATGTCAGCAAAACAGTAGCCAAGTGTGGCAGTAGTTTTGCACAAAGATAACATGGATTTATATTTTAAATATTTCTACTTCAAGACTGGTAATGCAAGTTTACATGTGACAGAACAGAAATGTCAGCTTAGGACAGATAGGAGATTTGCAAAATTTGTTCAGGAGTTTTCGTTGCACAAGAGGGAGGTTTTGTTATTGTATTTATAGTATGTTAATAGGACCCATCACACATAATGTCATTCTTGATACCACAGCAAATTTTAAACCAGCTTGACAGGAAGGGCAGAATTCCTATTCATGTCTAATAAACTTGATTCCCATTTCCATCCAGCATATAATTTTGTGTGGTATTGCTTAGATATTGGTGATTTACCATTGTCAGATAATGTACACTTACACATCTTGACAAGCTTTAAAAACCAAGCTAGTTTTATGCTGACTGAACTTTTTAGTAATCCAACCATAATCAGTTAATCTCTTTAATCCTTTTGAAATTACTGATAAGTACACAACAGAATAATCCATGTTGACAAAATTAAAATACCAATGCTAAAACAATGTTGTTTTATGCTAATAAGGAGCCATTTAGTAATCCAAACATAATCAACTAATCCTGTCAATCCTTTTAGAATTATTTCCCTCTACACCTAATATAATCCACAAACTTTGAAGCCAACCAACCCTGCAGGCAGAATCAAAATGGGTGTTAATAGTTTTATGCTGCTTGAAATTAGCAACTGAATTGTCTTTCCTGACTTAAATCAGTTCAGTCATAGGATCCCAGGCAGTTTTACTGTAAATATATTACAATGGAAACAAGGTGTGAAAAAGAATTAAAGAAAATAATTTTTAAATAATAATTTGCATACATAGGAGATTTTAGTTAGTGTTGGGAGGGATGGAACACACCCTTCATCTGGAGTGGAAATAAATAGAAAATTAAAATATCATTGTTGTTTTTACATATAAATTTGTGTTTAATCAGTGAAGACCTATATGACTGGTTGATTTGAAGGCTGTATTGGGCATACTGATAGACATTTTATTTTAAAGTTTCATCTGAAATTGATACATAGCAGTTGATAAACCAACAATCTACAATGGTATTTCAGTTATTTCAGTTATTAGATCCTCATCCAATTTTCCAAGAGAGGGAATTCTCTACACAGAATGTTCTCAGCCCTGAGAGCTGCTCAATTGCAGACTTAATTGAGCTTGAAATTGCAATAATGTCCCTTCTGTAGAGAAAATCAATAGTCCAATCTATCAACTGTCAAATCCAGTAGTTATCTGAGTTATTTCCCTTGACAGGACTAATATTTGCTCTTTAAATTCCATTTTCACATTACTGGCAACAAAGTGAGGCAAGTAGATATTTTGTTACCTCAACTGATTGATCTTCTTACTTGGTAAGTGGTAATGAAATTTTAAATATTAATAACTGAAAATGTAAAGGTTAACAGGTAATAGTAAAAGCTAAGATTATAGGATATAGTTATTGAAAATTGATATGAAAAAAAAATCAGAATTATCACAGATTGAGAAATTAGGACATGATAAGAAAGTAGTTCTGTTCTCAGTTCTGAGCCAGTATCTGGACTTTCCAAATTTATGCATCAGTGTAGTATATTTATAAATAATCTGGATTATAAAATATATTTGCATGATTAGATGGTGTATGGAGCCATATAGATTTAGTTTCTTCCAAAAAAAAACATTGAATGCTTTTGTAGTCAAAGATTTTAATGAACTTCAAAAGTGTAATGATGATTTTTTGTAATTAAGGAGTAATTCTAAAGTCAGAAGAAATAATTTTGTAATTATTTGTCATGCATTATTATTGTACATGTTTAATTAAATTTTGTTCATAATTCCACACTTACGCTTTGTTCTGACAGAAATAAAAAAGTGTTTTAGTTTTAAAATATTATGCACAGCCATGATTATTTGTGTTGTTTTCGTGAAAGTTGTAAAAAGGCTGTTAAATTCGCACATACATTTTTTTCTGTAGCAATATTTCTTACACAGTTAAGACTTTGGTGCCCATTTCTTCTTCCCAGACCTTGAAAAAACTGATGGAATAATATCAGTTACTGCAAATACAAATGATGACATATTTTCAGCTAATATTGCCTGGATTTTATTTAATTCAAGAGTTTTATAACCTTTGACTTGGACCTAACACCAGTTAATTTTTTTCCAGGTAGCTAAACAGTTACATAAAGTGAAGGGGCCCCGAGTGGCCGAGTAGTCTAAATCGATGTCCATTACGGATCACTGCCATCTCACCTCTGTCTTCGTGGGTTCGAGTCTAGATTCGGCGAATGTGGATATGTGAGAATGCTTGACAGTAGCTTCTCGTGGGTCGGTGGTTCTTTCCGGTGATTTCCCGGTTTCTTCCTCCACCATTAATACTGGCTGCCATGAATAGCCTATCATGTGCTGAAAAATGGCGTTGAGCTCAACAACAACAACAACATAAAGTGAACATCTCTCCTGACCACAAGAATATGGAAAGGACTATAAACTGCCACACTGCAGACATAGTGGTATTACTGAAAAATTGTTAAAGCAACATTAAAAATTCAAATCACACACACACACACACACACACATGATCTGTATAATGGATATCGGACTATAATGACCATCAGGAGGCTATTTTGCAAAGACTGGCCCAGTTTCTAAAACACCACTTTGATAAGTCTTTGGTATGACTTAGCTAGGATTAGAACCCATGACCTTCCACATCCAAGGCAGATGCTCTAACCACTTAGGACACCAGTAGTGGTCTCCTTTGTAAGATAGGAGTCCTCTATGTAGGTGACACAAATAACAGTAGTCAAGAAAAATGTTCCTTATAGATGTCTGTGTAAGCTGTGTCTTTTATGTAGAGGTGACATATAATGGTAATGGAAATTAATTCATTATTGCTCTTCTTTTTCAAATGTATCCTTAATGTAAAACTTGTTGTTGTTGTTGTTCTGGGGCCTAATGCCATTTTTCAGCAAATGATAAGCAATACATGGCGCCCAGTATTAATGATGGAGGAAGAAACCAGGAAATCCATGGAAAGAACCACCGACCCACATGAAGCTACTGGCAATCTTTCTCACATATCCACATTCGACGAATCTTAGATTCGAACCCATGCAGACAGAGGTGAAAAGGTAGTGATCCATAATGGAGAGCGCTTTAGACCATTCGGCCGCTCGGGGCCCCAATGTAGAAGTTAAATATAACAATAGTCAAAGAAAGGATTCATTATTGCTGTCCTTTGTCAGATAGGTGCCTTTTATAGGGAGGTGTTGGACACTAAGGCAACCTTTGCTATAAATCCAATCCAGTATAAATTATGTGTACACAAAAAATGCATAAACTGCATCATTGTGCCATGTTAAGATAGGTACAGAAGAGTTCATCTTTCCATAAAAAAATTGCCAGGCAAGTATATATTGTAGGAAGTAAAACATAGTAAATGAAGGCCAGTAATTGACTACTGCCATATTATCATGTTTACAGCAATTTCTCAGTAAGGAGACATGTCCTTTAATCTTGACCTACAAACTGGTATCACTGATACCACCTGTTTGTTATCATCGGAACTCAAGTCACTATATACCAGTTAACAGGATTTTTTAAAGTAAGAGCACTGACTTGCTTTGTTACTTTTACATTAATGTTTGATTGATAACACTGATGTTACTTCCATAGTAGATTAAAGGGATGGGTTCTGTAAATGCAGGTAGGTATAGTTGGTAGGGCTTTATTTAGGTGGTTGGTAACAAGGTTAGTAGCTTGGTGGGTAGATTGGTGCAGTGTGGTTCATGTAGAATATTGGTACATGTCCATACATACACACACTTCTGTTGACTTGTACATTCATGTACTTCATAGAGATAGGTAGATTCAAAGTTTTCTAGTGTTAGTGACTGTAGCAGTTTAATGTGGCAAGCAACTACATTACCAGCATTCATGTAAAGTTTCTGAAGTATGGACATTAAAGATACAGAAAGAAGCCAGAAATGTGTTAGATGCATCAACAATGTAATTTTTTTTATCTTTGTGCGTTTCTCTGTCCTCTTGCTATGTTAAGTTATCTGACTTTGAAGTGTATCTCATATGGCATCCAAACTTTTAAACTGCACCAATTGCTTTTCCTTAGATCATGATGCTAATGTTTTTGCAAAATAAATATATCTTCTCTCCTACTTCAGTGAGGACAGAACTATGTACTCTACAGCACTTAAGAGAGATAACTCTTATAAAACTAGACAGGGGTAACATATTTCATGTCACAAGGATGTATTGTCAGGTTAATAGGTATCCTGCCACAAGGATGTATTGTCAGGGTAATAGGTATTCTGTCACAAGGATGTATCATCAGGGTAATAGGTATCCAGTCACAAGGATGTATCATCAGGACAATAGGTATCCTGTCACAAGGATTTAATCATCAGGGTAATAGGTATCCTGTCACATGGATGTAACATCAGGGTAATCTATTCTGTCACAAGGATGTATCATCAGGGTAATAGGTATCCTGTCACAAGGATGTATCATCAGTGTAATATGTATCCTGTCACAAGGATGTATCATCAGGGTAATAGGTATCCTGTCACAAGGATGTATCATCAGGGTAATATGTATCCTGTCACAAGGATGTATCATCAAGGTAATAGGTATCCTGTCACATGGATGTAACATCAGGGTAATAGGTATCCTGTCACAAGGATGTATCATCAGGGTAATAGGTATCCTATCACAAGGATGTATCATCAGGGTAATAGGTATCCTGTCACAAGGATGTATCATCAGTGTAATCTGTATCCTGTCACAAGGATGTATCATCAGGGTAATAGGTATCCTGTCACATGGAAGTAACATCAGGGTAATCTGTATCCTGTCACAAGGATGTAACATCATGGTAATCTGTGTCCTCTCACAAGGATGTATCATCAGGGTAATAGGTATCCTGTCACAAGGATGTATCATCAGGGTAATAGGTATCCTGTCACAAGGATGTATTGTCAGGGTAATAGGTATCCTGTCACAAGGATGTAACATCAGTAATGTGTATCACATTGTTTAAAATCCATGAAAAATACAAAACATGATCTAAATGTAATTTAACTTCATCTAACATGCAACCAAGTTACTTTTTTTAGCCAGGCATAAATGGTAACTTTTACATAATGCAACAGTCAACATCTAGCTTTGTTGTTTGTTACTGAATAAAATGTCCTTACCTAGGACATGATTGCCCTACCCACTCTCACTTGAATGACTCTGAAGTCAAATGTACTTGACAGACTGAAATAAATACAAAGTCATTGAAACACAACATATGAGTCAAAGTGACCTACTTTATTAGTATGGTATTGTACTCAATAAGACTGATCCACACACAAGGTCAATTGGCTCTGTAGATAACTGCTTCAGAAATGCAAAATTATCATGCATTGATGCAAACTTAGAGTCACTGGGCCATGAAATATAGTTTACAGCAACCCAATGTTAGTGAAATGGTGATTTTCTAACCCAGATGCAGGATGTATACCAAAGCTGCTTAACTATAGGACTTGATTTATCCTAAAAACCTGACCTTAATGTGAAACTTAATTTACCTAAGACACAAGAACATGAAATTTATGTTAGAGTTATCTACTTTTGCTAACATTGTGTTGTAGTCACTCAAGACACATCTTCATACAAAAATGTATGACATGTTAGCACACATCTGAGAAATTGGCCTAAACCAAAAATTTGACCAGGGAATAATGGACAGACAGATTGATTGACAAAGATAACAATGTCCCTTCCGAATGCACAGCAAGATATTGAAAACTAAATATGTGTTCATTGAGCATGGATGCCCCACAACAATGCCTAAAATGCCCTAAATACAAGGCATGACAGACAGACATTTGGATGGGTAGACAAGGGTAACACTAAATGCCCATATACTATCATGGCAGGGCATATATAAATATGTATACAGTATTTACAAAGCTGCTGTGCTTTTGTATGTTGTAAAGATAAATTACTTCTATTAAGGAGTCATCTGTTACTGTAAATTAGACAATAAAAAAGCAAGAGTAATACCTCAATGAGAAATTTATCAAATATTTTTCATTTAAGGTATTTGAAGCCACAGAGGACTTCAAAGTATTTGAAACCACAGAGGACTTCAAGGTATTTGAAGCCACAGAGGACTTACCTGGTGCAGTTGAAATTTCATTTATCATGCATTAATTATCCAGAGATATTTCACTCAAAGATCTACACATTGCATATCCTCAGATCTGGACAAACAATTTGTTGTTTTTTTTTCATTAATATCACTTCATGGATTAGAAAAAAAATAATATATAGACAAATTCATGTCTTATTATCCCAGAACACTGAACATTTAATTGTGCTTATTCATTTTAAAACATTCTGTGAATTTATTCTTAAAACAATTGACAAAAATTAAACATTTTTAGTCACTAATTAGGACGTTTTTATTTCTTTAAGTATTTGTTAGAGACTTTGCCATTAATTGCAGTTACATTTGGAAGGTATTTATGAATAGGGATTCATCATCGGTAATAACAAAATAAAATAAAAAATTTAAATGGAGGACATGGACAATAAAAAGCTTCAGGAGCCAGGTGAACAAATTAAGCCAGTGGTGACTGAGGAGGAGGTGAGGGAGTTAGCATGGAGGTTGTTTGGGATGAGGGTGAGGAGTATGGAGGAGCTTACAAGTTATGATGACAAGAACTTCCATTTGATGATGGAGGAGGACTATGATAATGCATATATCAAGGATATCAGGCCTGATGGATATGTCATGAAGATCCTCAACACTTTTCAATCAAGGGATCCCACTACTATAGGTACCGTATATACTGTAATTCAAGTCCAACTGCGAACAGCATAGATTCTGATCTGTCATCATATAATGCAAAAAAAAAATAGAAATCTGTTTTGTTTATTCTACTGATCACTCCTAACAAGCTGTACAGACCCAGATCTGCTGACTCATTATGTGACATCAGATTTAGGTCCTGCAGTTTGCAGTTGGCGCTCACTTCCAAGGGTGTGTATGTAGTATTTTGTATCTTATTAAGATGAAAATATAAGTTCATTGTACAGCAGTTAATTTCTAATAATGATTATCAGGTGCTTTGTCATCTTTTTAAATATCTTTTAAGTCTGTTTGCTTTCAGTTTTCCATTGTTGATATTTCATGGTCAGTTAAAGCCAGATCAGAATTTGTTGTAAAACAGCTTTCAGGGAATATACATGTAATTGAGTGACAGTCAGAGAGGGAGATCAATGCATGGATTACATGTAATAGTGACAGTCAGACAGGAAGATCAATGCATAGATATACAAGTAACAGAGTGACAGTCAGACAGGGAGATCAATGCATGTATATACAAGTAACAGAGTGACAGTCAGACAGGGAGATCAATGCATGGATTACATGTAATAGTAACAGTCAGACAGGGAGATCAATGCATGTATATACAAGTAACAGAGTGACAGTCAGACAGGGAGATCAATGTATAGATATAGTGTTATAGAGTGACCATCAGACAGGGAGATAATTGCATGGATATACATACAATAGAGTAATAGTCAGATAGGGAGATCAATGCATGGCTATACATGTAATAGAGTGACAGTCAGATAGGGAGATATCATTGTATGGATATACAAATAACAGAGTGACAGTCAGACAGGGAAATCAATGTATAGAAATACATGTTATAGAGTGACAGTCAGACAGGGAGATAATT